CTGCTAAAATCGCTGAAGCTCTCTGAATCTTTTCCAAATCAATTTGGAGAGCTTTGAATCAATTCAGACCTTTTAATTGATCCACTGATTTGATTCAATTCAGATTCAAAGATTCGGCCTCCGAATTGGGCTGGATCTCCTCCAAACTGAATCAGCACCCAAACCTTTGCACAGCCCTAGTGTACACTACAGACTACCAAACAAGGGGAAGGAACTCAATCTGGAGTACACCTGAGAATTGACTGAGGCTGCATGTGCATGTAGCATGATCATCATGGGCGATTTTAATTGTCCAGACATCTCCTGGGAGGAACACTTGGCCAAGTTGGATCAGTCAAGATCCTTCCTGACCTGTGTTGAGGAGCTCTGTGTTGAGGAACTCAGGAGGTGCAGGGGCCAACCAGAGGTGACGCTCTGCTAGACTTGGTCCTGGCCAAAGGAGAGGACCTGGTGACCAACTTAAATATAGAGGGAAGTCTGGGCGGTAGCAACCATGAAACCATCGTGTTCACTGTCCAGCATAAGGCAGAGAAATCAGATAGCAGGACGGAAATCTTGGACTTCAAAAATGCAAATTTCAACAAGCTTAGGTCACTAGTAGGGGCAAGTGGTGCGAAACCAGGGACTGAAGGTGAAAGGTGTGCATGAAGAATGGTTGTTCCTTAAGGACATGATCCTTGAAGCATAAAGGAAGTCCATTCCCATGCAGAGAAAAGGTAACAGAAGGACTGGGAAGTGCTTTTGGCTAAACAGGGAAAACACAGTCCTCTTAAGAAAGAAAAAAGAGGCTTATAAACAATAGAAACTCAGAGCAGACCCCAAGGAGGACTATTCCATGATGGCCCACATTTGCAGGGAACAGATAGGGCAGGTTAAAGCGACAACCGAACTTAGATTAGCGATGGGAATCAAGGACAAGAAGTCCTTCTTTAGGTACATAGGTAACAGGAGGAAAACAAATGGGAGTGTGGGGCTATTGCTTAACAACTCGGGAGAGCTGTTTACTGGCACCCAGGAGAAAGCTGAACTCCTGAAAGTCATTCAGGAATCAATTTTGCCTTAGTCTTTCACCGGACCAAAGGGAAAACCACACCAGGTAGAGTAGAGGATGAGCATGATAGGAAAGTAATCACTTTCCTACTATTGCAGTAGAATTGGTGTATGACCAATTTTAAAAATTAAACATATACAAGTCAGCAGGACCGAATGATCTTCATCTGAGACTGCTGAAGGAGCTGGACAAAGTCATTGTGGAACCCCTCGCAAAACTCTTCCACAGCTTGTGGCACTGTGGAGAAGTCCCTGAGGACTGGAAAAGGGCCAATGTTGTGCCCATCCACAAGAAGGGGAGGAGGGACGGCCTGGGTAACTATAGGCCAATCAGCCTAACTTCCATCCTAGGGAAAATCCTAGAAAAGTTCATCAAGGAGTCTATCTACAATGAGCTTGCAGAAGATAAGATTCTGAATGACAGCCAGCATGGCTTCATCGTGGGCAGGACTTGCCTTACCAACCTCATCTCCTTCTATGACCAGGTAACTCACCAACTGGACATGACAGAGCAGGTTGACATTGTATACCTTGACTTCCAAAAGGCCTTTGATCTAGCATCCCACAATATCCTCACAAGAAAATTGGAGGATTGTGAGCTTAGCTCCAAAACAGTCAGGTGGGTGAGAAACTGGCTGCCAGATAGACCCAGAGAGTCATAGTGAACGAATCTGTGTCGTCCTGGCAAGAAGTGAGCAGCCGCGTCCCACAGAGGTCAGTGCTCAGTCCAGTACTTTTCAACATCTTTATTAATGGTTTGGATGCGGGGATGAAGAGCTCACTGGCCAAGTTCACAGATGACACCAAGTTATGGGGAAGCATGGTCACACTTGAAGACAGGCTGCAGATACAGGCAGACTTACACAGGCTTGCAAGTTGGGCAGACCGGAACCAGAGGAAGTTCATCATTGAGAAAAGTAAAGTGCTCCACCTGGGAATGAACAATCCCCTGCACACCTACAGGCTTGGCAACACCAACCTGACCAGCACTATGAACGAAAGGGACCTGGGGGTAATAATAGACCACAGTATGAATATGAGCTGGCAATACAATGCTGTAGCCAGTAGGACAAATAATACTCTGGCACGCATCAATTGATGCATCTCCAGCAAAACCGAGGAGATCATTCTTCTGCTTTACTCAGCACTGGTGAGCCACAGCTCGAGTTCATAGATTCATAGATTCATAGATGTTAGGGTCGGAAGGGACCTCAATAGATCATCGAGTCTGACCCCCTGCATAGACAGGAAAGAGTGCTGGGTTCAGATGGCCCCAGCCAGATGCCCATCCAACCTCCTCTTGAAGACCCCCAGGGTAGGGGAGAGCACCACCTCCCTTGGGAGCCCATTCCAGACCTTGGCCACTCTAACTGTGAAGAAGTTCCTCCTAATGTCCAGTCTGAGTCCAGTTCTGGGCACTGCACTTTAACATGGACATGGACAAGCTTGAGAGAGTCCAAAGAAGAGCCACCCATATGATCAGAGTCTTAAAAGGCAAGCCATACGAGGAAAGACTGAGGGATCTGGGATTCTTCCACCTGAGGAAAAAAAGGCTGAAAGGGAACCTGGTAGCAGCTTACCACTACACTAGGGGAATACATCAAGGTCTTGGTAAGCAACTGTTCACCAGGGCACCCAAGGGGAAAACTAGGAGTAACGGCCACAAACTCCTGGAAGATCGATTCAGGTTCAACTTTAGGAAAACCTTCTCCGTGGTCAGTGTGTCCAGACTGAGTAACAAGCTCCCTCCGGAGGTGGTGCAGTCATCTACCCTGGAAATATTCAAAAGGAGACTAGATAGTCACCTTGCTGGGGTCACCTGATCCCCAGTTCTTTCCTGCTTGGTGCAGGGGGATGGACCCAATGATTTTCTGAGGTCCCTTCCAGCTTTATAATCTATGAATCAATGATCCCTGGGCTGGCAGGAAGAACCCCACCCCCTGCCAGCTGGTACTGCTCTGACCCAGATCAACGTGCAAATGGCACACCCAAGAGCAATAAACTCTGGAACAATAAGCACTACAGTTTATTGCTGCACATTAATTGCAAGTGTAGACACACCCAAGATGGTTTAAATCTTCTTGGTTGCAGGGTACCCGCTGTTGTGGTTCAGTAGTAGAATCTTTGTCTGTAATGCATGAGCTGTTGACCTCAGTTCCCAGACACATACGCAACTACAGCCATTGAAGCACCAAACATCAAGATTCAGTCTGGCCTTTGGATTCTGTTTCAGTGGTCTGAAGTTGGGGATGGAAGGTATGGGCAGCCTCCACTCTTCCAAAGTTCCTGCCTGGGTATATGCATTGAAGGTTTGAGTGACCTGTCCCACATGTACCGGGATCCAGAAGGATCTACAGTTGTCTACTACTACTCAAGAATACAGAGATCTTCCTCCCTTCTGGGGAACAGAGCCCTAGAAACTGCATAAAGAAATAAAAAGCTGTAAAAGAAGAACAAATTATATTTTAAAAACAATTTAAAAGTAGTGGCCCCAGGTTTGGCTAAATTAGTCCCCTTGAAATGGAAAACCTACTATACAGAGGTGGGTGAATACTTAGTAGCAAAGCAAAAGAAAAAAGCTTGTATATGTTTAGGGAAGAATTCCTCTTGGGGTGCACTCTCTCTCCCAAAAAAATCAGTGAAATGAAATGAAATGAAAATGGGGGAACATGCTTTGTGTCGACTGAAACTTTTCACTTAGCTTGAAATGAACTGCTTATTTGCGAGGAAGAATTTACTTTTAAAAATTATTAAATGTAGGAAAAATTGGCCCCAAATTGTTGTTTCTTTTTGATAAAAAAATCTCTGTTTTGAAAAAGAATCATAAGGTTTTCTTTCTTTCTTTTTCTTTTTTCCTTATTTTTCTTTTTTTTTTTTGACAAAACCATAATTCAGCCCAAATTCTCAGAGAGTTTAGGTCAACCCACAATTGGATTTTTGAGCAAGTAAACTATTTAGCTGAATTTTTTCAACTAGTTCTACTAAGTGGACTTCAGTTAGAACAGCTATAAAGCAAGTATTGACAAGAGAGTCTACCTGAAGATGAGATATTCATTCAGTATGGAAGACTGTAGCTGTGTTAACACTACACACAGTTGGGAGTGCCAGAAGGTAGATTAAGCAAAATGGAAACAACTTTAGCAACACAGATTGCTACACTGGCCACTTGCCTAAGACCAGATTTATATATATTTAGTTATTTTAAGTTTAACAAAATGAATGTAGTATATCCATGCATTTGTATTCTTCTTTGTACATCAGTAGAGACCTGGGATCATTTTATATTCGCAGAGAGAGTGAAAGCATAGACTGTGTTTTATGGGTTCCCTTGCTCAAGAAACACATTGGGCACCTCTTGGTTAAGCAATTCATCTAACAGAAATTTAAGTTGTTAAGGAATTATGGTAGGCTACAGGCAATCCCGTCAAAAATGATTAAGCACAATAGCGCTGCCGATAACATGTCCTGCTTGCATCAGGTAACAGAAAAGGGCATCAGAGAATATGGATTTCTGGAAACTTGTTTGCATTGTGGCTGAAATAAAAGAGTATCAACAGGCCTTTTACTCAGTGATTTGGCACCTATATCAAAGACACAAAACTGTATTTATTGGGGGGGGAAAAAAGCTAATTTCTGGGTTGCTCTTGGTGCAAAGGATTCTCCAAGCTTCACATTCTGGTCCAGACACAACAGTTGCTAATATGGCAATGAATGATTTGTCCATAGTTTGCCAGCAAACCAGATATATGGACTCAGATGAACTTGATCCAAAGGACTTTCTTTGCCTTGAACATGCCTCAGAAACTGGCTAGTGTCTTCATTGTGACACAGCTGTTCATTGGTTTGCTGATACATTTTAGCTAAGAGCTCCCATTGGTTGTTGTTTGCCTTGAAGTTCATGTTAGTGGTAGCATATTCCTCTGCTGTCAGTGTTCAGCAAATGGGGAACTTTGGGGAAGTATTTTCAGACAAGGAACAGAAAAGATGAGTACATCAACAAGTGAGAAATCAACAACAGCCAGTGATTTTAGGAAATAATCTAAACAATCACTTGGGAGTTTCAAGAACACTTGAACAGACCGTGAAAAAGAGTTAAAGTCTGCAAAAGGTAGAGTGCTGTTTTGTAGTTCTTGTCATGGATTATTTTTCTTACACTTTACACTTCTTTCTACTTTTCAGTCTTTCTGCATTTAACTTAACTTGCCTTCATTGCTATTGTCTAATGTTTTCTCCATGGAAAAACCTATTGTGAAACACCAATGAGACATTATTACATTTTAAAAGTGAACATAGTGCTTTTAGGCAAGAAAGATGCATATCTTTGAAGCAACTGCTAAAAGAAAGCAGCACAGTTCACTTTTGTGGGATCAAAATTATTTAAGAGACGTGGCCTTGCTGAATTTCTGAAAGTAATCCCTGATAATAATTCAGTGCTGTAACACTTTGCTTTATCTTTGTATTTTATTTAATTGTGGGTTTTGTAAAGTAATACTTCTGCTCTGAACAATGTCTCTAAGAAGGCATCAAGAAAATCAGTGATTTTCAGCTTCAGATTACAAGATGGTTAAGTTTTTTCACCTTATTGCCAGGACAGGAAATTCAACCTGGGATCTGAAAGTCCAGGTGTAGTCTTCCTAGCTCGACTATTATCACTATTAATAACAATTCTACAGGCCAGATTTTGTCTTTATTTATCTCTGTGCAAGCCCACAACATTCTGTTGACAACCCAAAACCCAACATGCAGACAAGAATCCAGTTCACTCCATCATACCTGAATGATGATGGAAGAAACAATAGAATGAAAATACATTTTCCTTGTTAAATTATACATGCTTCTGATCCAAATGGGAGGAAATCTATGGAACAAGAAGGTTCCCATTTTAGATAGTCCCTCTTTAGAACAGAAGGAAACTTTACCATGTGGTGAGGTAACTCATTCAGAAATTCATTGCTTTGCTTTCCATAGGAATCAAGCTATATCCTCTCAGCATATTTGCAGCTATTTGGCAGCTATTCATATTTGCCACAATTTTTTCACCAACAGACTTTATCAGTTTAAAAGACTTCATTCTGTATAACTATTTTATTGTGCAGTAAGTACCATACATTTGACTGGAACATTTTACGTAGGTTGTGTTTGATGAGTATACATTGATTATCATGCTGCACATTGGAGCTGATAGATCTGGTATGGCATTCGTTGAAGCACTACATTCATCGGGTGATGAAGCCCTGCAATAAAGAGAAACTAATGGAAGCAATTAGGAAAGAACACCTGTCGGTGGAAGACTGCAACCTCTACATTGACCATAGCCAGAAATTGGTCCCAATTGTTATTCACAACAATGGAAGGCCTCTGGACTGTGAATGCAGGCAATGATGGAATGCAATAAAATTTGCAAATGAGTTTTCACATTGTCCAATAAAATTCTATGACTTCGTCAATCTGTGTTGACACAGCCCAACACATGGCTAAACAATAAAATGATGTAACTGAGGGTCTAATTGTCACAGTGGGTTAAATGTATTTGACTTGCACTTCTTGAGCTCTGTGTTCAAATCCTGCATTGGTCACAAATGAACTAGAGATTGTTGGCCTCGTCCTAGTCTCCTGTGGACATTTAACATTACTGAACAATTTAGCACAATCAATGTACTCTACTGAAGACTGATCCAGGACCATAATAGCAAGGTTGTTTGCAGGTCAGCTACAGCAGCAGAGTAATATGCAGAAGAGTGCAGAATGCCTTCCTGAACTATCCATGGACAGTCAACAGATTGCTTTCAGAATCACTCACTTTATTACCAATAAATTTTAACTGTTACCTTAGTTACAGATGTAAAAATAGCATTTTGGTCATTATGGAATAAAGGGACTGTTACAAAGAGAAGTGCAAATAAAAGCAGCCAGCCCCAAACCAGACACCTACAGTACAATAAATATGTTTGTTAAATATTTAATATGAAGCTTGATTTTAGAGTCTTTGCAATAGAAAGGGAGAGAGCTGCAGCAAAGATTGTAATGGGAGTGTATTTAAGGTCTGGTTCAAGGACTGAGATCATTGGATTATATAAACTATTGAAGAAATTTTGAATTCAGATCTTCAGTTTCATCAAGTGGATCTGATAACTGCAGATCTCATGTTGATAGCAGTGGTTCAAGAACTTGAGTAGAAAACAGATCAATCAAACTTTGCTCTCCAAGTTTATGTCACCAGAACCCCTCAAATGGAATTTTGCCCATAGTTTATGATTGCTCTGTTTTTCATTGAGATGTGTATAGCAAAAAGTCAAGAGCCAGCAGGCAAAAAAGTAAACTTCACTGCAGTGCTTTAACATAATCAAAAAAACATGGGTTTTTAAGCAACAGACTTAAGTCAATTCTGTAACGAGGATCTGAATTACTTCAAGGCCTCCACAAATAATGCATCCTTCAAATTTGCTAAAACATTGGTTAACATAAACATGAATTTGTACAGAATAAGTAGTAGCCCCAATAATAAACAAACAGTAGCTCAAGTAACAGACAATACTTGTAACAGTAATTAATAATGACACAACAGTGCTTTTTGCTTATATAACACTTCTTTTCCATAGCCTTCAAAAAAGCTGAATAAAAGATAGATAAACATAACATTCCTGCTCTCCTCCATTTTTCAGTAAACAGACATAGAAAGGTCAAGGGCCAGAGTCTGGGGTCCTCACTCAAGTTGTAGAAGACTTTAATGCACAAAGAGTGCCAATGAATGTATGTGACCATTTCTAAAGTGAGCTTTTACCAGGAGGCATAAATGCATCAGAACCTGTCTCTAGGCAATTTATTTAATAACATGCAGTGTTTGTCTCAAAAAGAGAATTGAAATCACCTGGTTCCCCACTTCCTAAAACTGTGCACATAAATGCTTGCCTTTGTCTTCACAATCTGTGTACACAAGTATGTCACCATATGATTGATTCTAGATTATACTTAGGCTTTAGATTGTCACCCACAAACCAGAGCTGATAAAATAAATTATTCCGGTACCAGTCTGTGGGCAGAGAAAGTTTTCAACAACACAGAAAGGAAGGAGAAAGTTTACTTGTGGTTTCTATGGCATTTATAGAGAAATTGAACAAAAATGAATCATGTACATATTTCCTTTTCAGTTAAAACATATGATGTATGTATGAGTGGCTCTGTATGGCTAGCCATGAACTATTTTAAGTGTTTAAAAGTAGAAGGGAATGGAAACAACGGGTATTTTTTGTTTGTTTTTTTCTAAATGTGGAAAGCTATAACTTTTTTCTAGATGTATCTTCACAGCAGCTTCATAAAACCACTTCATGAGGAAAACATCCACCCGCTGCAAAACACTAAAAATCCATTTTGTTGATCAGCAACTTTCTCATTCCTGTGTTACAGTGGGACAAATAAAAATGAGACTTAACACCCACCAACCTTCCTCCAGTCTACTGCCATCTCTACTTCAGTACTTGTTTGAATTAGGAGGAAGGTACTAAGGGGTAGCTACTGCCTCAGACTGGCACACTGGGAGTTGAGAAAAAAGGTGTTAAGAGGGATATAGACATGGGTGACTTGTGCTTTCTGAGTCTGGGGTGGGCACCAAATCACCAACAGGGGGGAGAGGGGGAATCCCCCAGCGGCCGATCGACGAGCCAACGGCAAAACCAGAAGTGCACTTCCACTGGCACTTCTGATTTCACACCTGGTGCTTCCAGGGGGTGCACGGCCAATCTCAGGGGGTGCATGTGCACCCGCGTGCACCTCCTACACGTCGCCAATGGATATAGAAAAAGAAAAAAGCTGAAGGAAAGCTTTTTTTTCTGGAGGGGCTTGGATAAGTGGTAAGAAAATCTGTCACATTTTGGTGGCCAAGCCCCCACCCTGATAGTAAGACTCTCTAATGAAAGAATGAACTTCATGACAAATAGCTTTAGGATTCATTTTTTTGATGAGAACTGCACTTGAACACAAATAATGACATTCATGTCTAATGACAATTTCACCAAATAGGCTGGTTTCACTGGCTAAGTACAGCCATTTAGAAAGCCTGAGGCAGAATCGATTGAAGCTACATGGTTTTCTGTAAACTACATAGCTTAGATCAGTAGTGAACAGAGTACACATTTGCCCTTTGGTGGGGGAAGAAAAATCATAGATGGGTTCCGCCATTTTTAAACAAGTCTATGTGTGCCAAACTTCTGTTCTGTTATGGGTATAGACTGGTTTTCTCTGCCAGACTTCTGTTATGGTTATAGATTGGCCTCATAGAATCATAGAAAATTGGGGCTGGAAGGGACATCAGAAGGTCATCTAGTTCAACACCCTGCTCAAAGCAGAACTATCCCAACAGGGCAGACCCTACAGTGAGAGACTGCGGGACCTGAACCTATTCAGCCTCCACAAGAGAAGGCTAAGGGGGGACCTGGTGACTGTCTATAGACTCACTAGGGGGGACCAGAAGGGTTTGGGGGAGACGCTGTTTCCCCTAGCGCCCGCTGGCATAACAAGGAGTAATGGGCACAAGCTGATGGAGAGGAGGTATAGATTGGACATCCGCAAAAACTACTTCACGGTTAGGGCGGCTAGGAGCTGGAACCAACTTCCAAGGGAAGTGGTGCTGGCCCCTACCCTGGGGGTCTTTAAGAAGAGGCTGGATGCCTACCTGGCTGGACTCGTTTGAGTCCCGTTTCTCTTTTTGGGGTTTTTTGTTGTTCTCCCGCCCTGGCGGGGGGTCGGGCTAGAAGATCTACTAGGTCCCTTCCGACCCTTAATCTATGAATCTATGAATCTATGAATCCCCTACTAGATCATCCCAGTCAAGGCTTTGTCTACCCAGGTCTTAAAAACCTCCAAGGATGGAGATTACACCACCTCTCTGGGTAACCTGTTCTAGTGCTTTACTACCCTTTTTGTGAGAAAGTTTTTCCTAATATCTAACCTAAACTTCCCTTGCTGCAGCTTGAGACCATTGCTCCTTGTTCTATTATCTGTCTCCCCTGAGAATCGCCTAGCTCAGGGGTTGGCAATGTTTTTGGGCAGAGTGCCCAAAACACCTGCAACCTTGACTTGTCAGATGTTGGTGTGCCAGGTGTGAATGGTGGGGAAACCATGAGGGGCCCAGTCCTTGTTGTGGCAATGCAGCCCCAGCCCCTTCCCCAAGGTGTGTGTGCCAAGCAGAACGCCTCCACGTGCCATGCTGTGGCACCCACGCCGGGGGTTGCCTGCCCCGGTCTAGCTCCATCCTCTTTGGAACCACCCTTTAGCTAGTATAAGGCTGCTGTTAAATCCCTCTTCAGTCTTCTCTTCTCTAGATTAAATACACCCAGTTCCCTCAGCTGCTCCTTGGAAGTCACGTGGCACAGCCCCCTAACCATTTGTACTCTCCATGAATCCTAGCCCTACCTTCCAGTGTATCTACTGCTCCCCACAGCTTCAAGTCACCTGCAAACTTGCTGAGTATGCACTCCATCCCATCTTCCAGGTTGTTGATGAAGATTTTGAACAAAAACAGCCCCAGGGCCAACCACTGGGGCACTCTACTAGATACAGGTTGCCAACTAGACATTGAGCCATAGACTACTACCCTCTGAGCCCAATGATCCAGCCAATTTTCTAGCCAGCTTACAGTCTATTCATCTAGCCCATACTTCCTTAGCTTGTTTGCAAGAATGTTGTGGGAGAACATATCAAAAGCCTTCCTGAAGTCAAGGTTTATCACATCTACTTGTCTTCGCACATCCATAGCACAATCATCTCATCATAGAAGGCAATCAGTTTGGTTAGGCATCACTTGCCCGTGATAAATCCATGCTCTCTGTTCCTAATCACTTTCTCCTGCATGTGTTTATAAATGGATTCCTTGAGGACCTGATCCATGATTCTTCCAATGACTGAGGTGAGGCTGACCAATCTGTAGTTTCCTGGATCCTCTTTCTTCCGTTTTTTTAAGATGGATACTATATTTGCCCTTTTCCAATCATGCATAACCTCTTCCACTCACCATGAGTTTTCAAAGTTACTGGTCAGCAGCTCTGCAATCACATCGGACAACTCACTCAACCCCCTAGGATGCATTGCATCCTGCCCCATGGATTGCACATATCCAGGTTTATTAAATTGATAGCTTATACCAATACATGTTTAATGTCTGTACCTGGCCAGTATTTTGTTCTTTTCTACTTTACTTTGGGGAAATGTTGTAGGTATGCAAACAAAAGTGCAAAAGAGACTGATTTATTGGTACAGGATTGCACTGGTGCTATCTGGTTGTTTTGTGAATAAGTCTTTAATAAACTTCAGTATTGCAATATTCTTCCTGATTTGAAATCAATTTTACTGTATTTTGGGCTATTGGTTTTAGCTCAGTCATCTGCCTAATTGTTTCTATTGTCAATATTTCTGTTAAAACCCTTAGAAAATATGCTTCCCAGGTTTTGGAATTATTTTATTTGTTTGACAATGGACTAACTACTGCAATTAGTGACAGAGGCATAG